TAATTATGTAAATTTTCACCCTTATGTTGGAATGATGTTTTGTACGATATTGCTCAGGTACTAAAGATTAGAGTTTCTTCTAGCGAGGTAGCCGTTGGAGTAGCTTGTGTTAGTGTCCTTATTTATTTTGGGTCGAGTCGTGCTCTAATTATGTAATACTGGGAAATATTTTGATTTCATGTTTTAAAAAATACTTTATGTACTCTACTTTATGTTGTTATGTTTATTTGAATTAGGTGGAGTATTGGCCTTTATGCCTAAGTGATGATTATGAATGAGATGAGCATGAGACTTTCATTATGTTAATTTATGATTAGAGTAATTCTGTTGCTACATGCTAAGTGAAAGTATATGAAAAGTATGAATTTATTTTAAGTGTTATTGAAAAGCATGCTAAGTGAGAGTATATGAAAAACACATCAAACTCAAAGCGAAGGGCCTCGCCTGGCCTTTGCACTACGAACATTGCATAGTTTTTTTCATTTTGTTTTGATGCTTGCTTGGTTGTTTCACATGCATGTATATGGTTACTATATATTGTTTATATTGACTATGATGAGTAATATGCATGTGTATTTGTGGATTGATGGATTGATAAAATGATGGTTATATGATTAAAAGGAATTAAGAAAAGTGAGGAAAACATCACAATCCAATGGAATGACCTAGGGATGTAACTAGGAGTTGATAGATAACTTAGATGACAATACTTGCACATTTGATGCATGTGTGCATCCTTGACAAGTAGTTGTCTAGTGGAAAGTTGAAACACTATATGGAATATGAGTTAGTTTTGTGTTGCTTTGAGAATAAGGTGTATGTGACTTTGTGATGTCAAATACAATCACACATGAGCGTGAGATCACTTAGTCATAACCAATCCCTTGAGTTGTGCCATTCCACGAGTGGAGGCTTATTTAGAGAACTCCTCTAGAATGTATGCACTAGTACCTTGACAGGTTTGATCCCCATTGTACAAATGGAGCGTACGGGTAAAGAGACTTGTGATGAGGTACAGCCCATGAGAAATGATGATTCAATGGAGTATGTGTCCCTTGGACTCGAATCAATTTTGTATGTCAAGGTTTGCAAGGATCCATAACCTCTTCCAAACTCTTAGATGTAGGAAAAGGCGGGAAAAGGGGATGCCTTAGTCAGGTTTCCGATTAGTAATAATTTGATTTGTTGAACTCAAGCAACATGTTTCCATATAGTGTGAAGTTGTGAACTCAAGTCTCGTCCCTTCCCTTTTGACTTGAGCTAGGATTGGTTATAACCTTGTAAAGCTGAGATAATCTATAATATAGGAAACCCATTGGGATTATTATCTCACCCCATTTTATTGATTATATTTTAGGTTGTTCAGGTTCCGTGAAGGGTAAGGACAAAGTCGTTTGATGTCCTTACTTGTATTAGCATTTTGGATGACATTGTTTCCGCTGTGAAGACTCTAGTTTGAGATCATTTAATATAATCTAGTTCTTAGTGTTTGGAGCATCTTGCGTATATTATGCTATCCTTTTTAGATTTTATGTTTTGACATGTAATGTATACAATGTGCTACTAGCAACTTATGTGTATTTCAATACGAAACTTGCAAACATTTATAATATGTATCTTCTAAACTTATGTATTTATATATGGGTGTTACAGATATAGTTCCTCTTTGGCTCTTGACCTAACATTTTCAAAAAAAATTGGGTAGAAGAAATACTTCTTCATATGAACCACTGCAAACAAACTCAAACAGCATGACTTCTATATGGGGTTTTAATCACAAAAATTATAGCTGCTTTTGGAATCGACACTAAGGGAGAAAAATTGGATTTAACTCAAAACATGACTGATTACCCCTCACTAAGAAGTATAAATATTTGTCTCTATCAAGGAGGATTATGGAACAAATTGATGGATGAAAATAAATACATAACACAACTAATCGCAGAAAACACAACAGTAAACAATCTTATAGAGATGTGCCAACAAAATGCTCCAGCCATACAAAATCTAGAAAAGGATGTTTCTATCATAAAATAAATACCTCAAGGAATGATGATACTTATGAAAATGAGTAGCCTCACTTATGTGTTTCTTTTTTATTTTTTAAGTGTGTTTGAATTTTCGGTGTTCCTACATTGTTTCAATCCCTACAATTTCTTGCTTTCTTGTACTTTGGATTCCAGTATATTTGAATGAATGAAATAAAATTTTCCCTTTTAATATGTTTGACTATGTGAACAAACATGTTTACATATTTAAAATTATATCTTGCATATTTACCCGCCTTTTGATTATGATAAAAGGGGAATAAGTATACTCTCAGAGGAAGTAGAGTATACTATTTACTCGTGTGAAAAGAGTTTAACCATTCCAATGTATATCCATATGTCTTTCTTTTCCTACCTACTTGAGATATACATTGTCGTCATAAAAAATTGGGAGAATGTGAAACTATGTTCTTGCAGGTATAATCAAGAAGTGATCAAAGCTCATAGTAAGCTAGATTTGTTTATCCCTGATGATGTCATGGTTTTGATGATGAAAACACCTGATGGTAACAAGCATGAAGTCAAGCAATGATTGAAGTCAACTCAAGCAATCAAATATGCATAATATGGTTGATCAAGTTATTTCTTCTACTCAAGTTAAAGAATTTGGGTTTATGATCAGCAACAAGATACATACTCAAAGAAATTAGGGTTCAATGCATGATGTGATACCCCATAGAACCGTAGCCAAGTCAAATGATCCTCATCCACATCAGAAGGTTCCTATTTCTTAACTTTTTTGAACCATTTCTTCAACCAATATTTCCCATCCATTACCAAATCGTCTAGTTCCCCTTCCTTTCTTTCTTCAAGAAGACAAAGATTAGCACTTAACGGAGTTACTTTGATAGCAAAGTAACCTTATGAGTTGAGAATATCTTTAATGTTATAAGTTAGTCTCAGATTCTCCATAATTCCCATGTACCCATTCTTGAATCTAGCCCGTGTTTCCACCTTTTCTAAATTAAGTTCTAGATGTGCATAAGGTGGGTTTGCTTCCTTGTTCTTGACATGTTCAGTTGGCTTTACTTCCTTGTTCTTGATAAGTTCAATTTTTCTTCTGCAGATAGTCTTTCTAATCTCACCACCATTCATGGCAACTTGAGCATAGGAGACCCTTTCGCTTTTAGGTGTGAAGGAGTTAGCTTTTCTGGTATCTATCTTTGAAAGAATGAGCATAGGACTTTCTGAGGTCTTCCATTCTTTGCTTAGGTCTTGGATTTGTTTTCCTATGCATCCTCCTTACACTTCTCCTAGTGAATCTCGAACATTAACAAAAATATTTTGACTACCAATGAACATGTTTCTAAGCTTTGATGCTAGCCTTCTTTCATCCTCTACGTCGAAGAACCTCATGAAACCATATCGTTTTCTCCTTATGTCTCTCTTAAAAGGAATCACCACATCATCAATAATACCAACGTTTTTGAACACTTTGTAAAGACCCTTCACTATACATCTGTCTAGGATAAGAGTAAAGAAAAACAAAGTCTTTCTCCTTAAGGCTTCTTTATGTCTCCTAGTCCCTACATTGTCCCAACAGTTTGTGTTCAACATTAATTATGAATGACCCCTTTCTTCCACCCTTGACTTTCTTCCATGATAACAGATTAATAGTTAACATAAAAAAAAAACTAAAAGTTTTGGAGGATATGTTTGAGAGTCAGTTTTTAAAGGATATAATTTTCAAGAACTATGTCAATAATTCAATATATATTTAAAATTTAGAGAAAAACAAAATAATATGATACATGGATATGTAATTGTATTTTCTGAAAATTGGGTATACAGCCATATGACCAATTAATTTCCACCCCTTTGATGAAGATGTTAATCACCTATATGGAGAAACATTTGTTGTTGGTTTGGGGTAGGTGACTTGAATGGGGTTGGTGGTTGTTACCATTTGTGTGCTTGGATTGATAACTTGAAAGGAAAGGTTGCAATGTGTAATGCAATATGGATGTGGGTCATTGTGTGTTGGAGCATTTGGTAGGCGAGGAATCAAATTCTTTCTACAATGAAATAGGCGATCAAGAACTTAAGGTGCAGAGGATTGTGCTCATTTTTTGATGGTGGCTTTCTAAGAGGTTTAATCATAATTTCAATTGTAGTTATTATGATTGGTGTAAATATCCATGGAAATTCCTATAGTTTTAGGACTTGGTGGAAATTGTGTTATTTTATTAACGATAAGTTGTCGAATGTAATTGGGTTGAGGTACTCTTAGCACCTCTATTGAAAATAAATTTTGTTTATAAAAAAAACACATGAATTATTTGCACCTAGTATAATTCGAATATTCGACTAGAGCAACACACGCTTAAGTCTCAAGTTATCACCAACATGTCAACCCTATAATATTTTAATAAACATAATTTTATTTTATTTGCAGTAAAAGAAAAATCCTTTTCATAAACCCTATAATTGTTTTAAATAAATGCACACGCGTCCAAGTTAATTTGAATCAATATGATGAGGCTAGACTCCTCCAATATATGGAATCAAAGTATAAATTCTTGCTGAAAAAACGTCTATATTTAGTGTCTATTGGTGTAAAACAAAAAAATTGATTCTGCGTTACTATCTATCACATAGAATCTAATAATATTTAGAACCCACCACAGACGACATTTCTATCTTTGGTATGTCGTCGCAGACATGGAATACAAGGGTTTAAATCACCATTCATTTTGAGTTCTTATAGTGATAGTAAAAGTCAATGCTTAATCAGCTTGAATGTCATTACATTACAGAACTTTGCCTTTCAGCAATTTAATTTAATTAATACATAGAAAAACTTAACTAGATTATAATATCAAGTTATAATTAAGCTTACAACATACTTTTAGTGTCTTCAAAATAAGGGAAAACTACAAAACATATATATAAGCACTTATATTTTATATGCCTTGCATATATATATCATATCATAATACCAAATTATGGTTTTCAAAAGCATCCAAGGTGACAGGTATACAGTGGTTCCAGGGTCAGGTCAAGCTCATTCCTCCCCATTTCTGGTGCTTCCTCACGGTAATTACCGCTGCAAAAAGAAAAAGAATACTAAACTTTATGATCAGTTGCTAAAGAAAAACAAGAATTAAAGTGTTAGGTGTGACATCTGCGAATTCTAGCTCAACTGACAGAACTCGATATTGCTAGGTTGGACTTTATCACTAGGGTTCTAAAAATATTGCGGAAGGTGAGATAATTTGTTATAGAGAAATGATCACCCCATGTTCAAACTTGGAAGTTGCTGGTGTAGCAAGTAATTTGGATTGACTCCATGATGGTTTGGGTGCTCCCATTGTGCCTGCTGCTCAGCTGCAATCTTTTCTTTCTCCTTAATCTATAATTATTTTTCATGGAAAAAAAAGGATTGATCAAATTTCTGTATCATAAACAACATAGTCGTCAAAAGTTTTTGAAAGTCGTAAATTTTTTCATGGCAAAACAAAGAAAGACCCTAGTTAACTTTAATTGAAGACTAACAAATAATTAATAAAATTTTATTTTGTCACAGTTTAACTGTAATATAGTCCGTCTTGCACATTCTAAAAGACTGTCATGATAAATGATATTTAAATTTTGCACTGAACTAAATTAAGAATGCATTGCCCTAGCTTCCATGATTTTATATATTATATATTAGATAAATACATATAATAGTACAATCAAACATCATTAAATAGTGGTTAAATTAAATCATCTAAGTTTTATATTGCATGAAACTAAATAAATAAAGTTAAAGGCTGATGATTTGTCACCTTTTTTGCAAGCATGTTATTCTGCTCTTGAATCACTTTCTCCTGCCAATGGATATCATGTCAGATTGATTTAGATAGAGCCAATGGATGCATAACGTAATCATGCACTTTTGTTTGCCCTAAACCTACACAAAGATTATAATGTGTACCTTTTTCTGAAGCTCTGAAATGGACTCGTACATGAGTTGGTTCTGTTAAAATATCAAGTATAACAAAAATTTACACTAGTTCAATAATGATGAGTAACAAAGAACACACTATAGTTAAGTGAAGTATAGAGAGGTTATACTCTGCGTGTACGAATGAGTTTGAGTGCAGTATCTAACTGCTGTTCCAGGCTTTGAAGTTCTTTGAGGCTCATTGTACCCAAATCTTCTCCCATGTAATGCCTATCATGTAATAGTTTTCATGTCATGTAATAATTAATTGAATGAGACTAGTGAATAATAAGAGTTTAGCAAAATTATAAATATATATTTTTACCTATAGTTTCTTTGCAAAAGATCAATCTTTGCCTTCAGTCTTGTATACTCAATGGTCCAATTTCCCTGGATAGGTAATTCATATTGATAGATATATTGTTAGATGCTATGTTGAATAATTTGGATTCATGAAGACTTGAATCCTACTTTCAATCAAATCAAGATTTTTTAATGGCAAAGGAGAAAAAAGAGTAAAGATAGGAGACACACATCCAAAAGTACAAAAACAATTTAGTGGCACTTTTTCTCTTTAAGTTTCTTTATGGGACTAATTTCAATGTGCATCTAATATGAACCTAAAAAAAGTCTAGAGACATTTATTATAAAAGATAGGGTTTAAAAAGGAATTTTTTTTTATAAATAAATATTATTGATAAAAGATGTATAAGGAGATTCTAACTCTTATAAATAAAGAAACAGTTACTAATTTCAATCAAAAGCTAAGGGACAGACTGATAAAAGATACAACCAACCTACACAAAATACTGCATGCAAGATGCAAAAATACACCTTCATGTTATTATTATAAGCAAAATTTCATTTTTTATATTTATTAAATAGTTTATATATCTGATATATATATATATATATATATATATATATATATATATATATATATATATATATATATATATATATATATATATATATATATATATATATATATATATATATATATATATATATATATATATATATATATATATATATATATATATATATATATATATATATATATATATATATATATATATATATATATATATATATATATATATATCAAATAAATTTATTATTTAATGAATCTAATAAAACGAATATGTACTTATAATTGTCACCAGAAACAATATTTTTTTTAAAAAAATTGGGTCTAAAAATGATTTAAAAAATATAGATTAAATTTGAAAGATCCTCAATTTTATATAGGTCAAAACCATATTCAACCCTAAACAAATAGGAAATAGTGTAATCCCTATGTTTTAAAATAAATTTCGATAAAATTTTTGTAAATGGATTAAAAATAAAAAAAAATATCATCATAAGACATTACATTTTTATTAAGTTAATAACACGTTGAAAGAAATATAAACTGGAATAATTAAAAAAAAGAAATAGAAAAAATAACAATAGTTTAAAAAGTGTTGACATTCATTTCTCAATAAACAATACTCATTTAAAAACGCATGAAGTAGTAGTCTACTAAAATTGGAAAAGAATATACCTAAAAAAAAGTGTTATAGAAAAAAGAAAGTTTACCAAGTTTATTGCAAGTCCAATTAAATAAATTCATTTTTATTTTTAATTTGTTAAAATGCTAATTTACTATGAAGTCAACTCAATTGATATGGAACGAATCTTATGATCCAACAAGTTCACTTGCAATTTTTAATACCTTGAATAACTTGTAGAATCTTATGATCAAACAGGTTGTAAAAACCTTTAAATGATTATCTTAATTTAAAACTATAATCATTACTTTGATTATGGATTAATAGGTTTAAAATTATAAATATACAGTAATTTTAACAATATTTGTAATCAAATATTATGGATCAAATCAAATGACAAACCTGTGATTCAGAATCATTTGCAACTAGTTGTCTCTCTGCATATGAATACCTTTCATAGCGCTCCAAAATCTTCTCCATGCTGAACAAATCACATTTTTACATAAGATTAATCAGATGTTAAACAAATACATAAAAAAAATTGAAAAAAATGAGTATATATTTATCAAGCACTGTTATATATATGACAAAAGAATAACACAAAATGAGTAATCCTTAAGTTTTTAAATGTTTATATTTTCAAGTTAAAAACTCAGTTCAATAAACATTGTTCAATATCAAAAAAATCATAACAACAATTTATATAATGAAAGAACATAATGTAAATCAATTCATTCTTATAAAAAAAAAACAGTACTACAATTTTTCTGAACTGTCTAATCATCAAACTGAAGTAAAATTGTTTATCTCATTGACACGAAGAAGCACCTTAAAGTTGAGACCAATCAAGAAAATAAGTTCTGTTTATAATTAACAGAAAAGCATGCAACATTCTTGTACTAGTTAGAGAAAAGAAACAAATCTATCAAACTTTTCAGAACAATAAAAAAACAAATTTTAAAACGTACAACAAAATGATGTTTCTATGTGTTCTGCATTGATAGGACTTGAGATCTAAAATCATCTTGTGACAAGTAATAACCAAATGCTGTCACTCTTACTGACTTTGATTCCAGAAGATTAAACACCTCATCAAAGGTACTACTATCTTTACAAAAAAATTAAATAATATATATATTTGAAGAAATTTAAACTAGGGTTTTCATTTTTCTGATTATAAAAAATTTATATAGTATTCTTAAAAAATTTAACAAAGAAAAAGCATTTTTTTTATAGGGAAGTATGAAGAAATAAGAACATTTGTTGTCCATATAACTGAGCTACAATATTTATCTCTTCTATTTATAGTTTTTTTTTTAAAAACAACCACATAGTTTTAGGTTTGCACTGTTTGATCAAACAAAAACTTAGATTTGGAAGAGAAAAAATAAAGAAGAAAGCATGTTTTTTTCTTTAGCTTTGCATCCACAAAAAGAAACCATTCTCTAGTGAAATAAGGAAAAAAAAAAAAAAAGCAAGTCCAAAATATTGGCAAAAAAAAAATAGGGTGAAAAACTCCTTTGACTTAATAAAGAACCAAATATGTAATATGCATTTCTACAAAAACTAAATTTGTAATATATGAACTTAGTCATTTTACATAAGAAATAAATATATGACCATTTTTACAAGAACATTTATTGTCCATATAAATGGGTATTAGTTATTTTTCTTATTTTGAAAATAAATCTGATAGTTTTAGGTTAGCACTGTTTGATCTAAACAAAAAAACAGAAAAGGAAGCATATTTTCACCCTATAGATTTGGACCCAAAAAATAGAAACCCTTATCAAAGTAAAAAAAAAGTTTAAAAATTGAAGAAAAAAATAGAATAAAAATAAACATAGGCTTAATAAAAACATTGACTCAATAAAAAAAATTGTAATATCCTTATGTATAGATCAAATGCTTCACATTACACACAAGAAATAATTATAAGAATTTTGTAACAGAGAAAATTTTCTGTCCATAAAACTGAGCTACACCCTTTTCTTTCTGCATTATTTTAACTTATTTTTGAAAAAAAAAAACATATAGCTTTAGGTTTACACTGTTTGATCTAAAAAAATGGAGGAAAAAAATTAGAAGAAAGCATATTCTCTCTTTACACCCAAAAAATTGAAACCCTACTGAAGTTTAAACATAGTTGTTAAAAAATCATACAAAAAAAATTGTGATATGTTTATTATGTAGATCAAGTAATCCACTTTACACACAAGAAATAAAAATATTTTGTATCTGAAAGTGAGATTTAAATTAAATACCTATATTTATGGTAGATAATATTTAATGAAATGAGTGCAATGAAAAGATCTAAAAAAAATTACCAAGAATCAGTGGCATATTCAAAGAGCTTTCCTTTGTGGGAGAAGACAATCAAAGCAACTTCAGCATCACAAAGAACAGAGATCTCATGAGCTTTCTTGAGAAGTCCAGCTCTCCTTTTAGAGAAAGTAACCTGACGATTGATCTTGTTTTCTATCCTCTTCAACTGAACCCTACCTCTTCCCATGTTAACAAAATGTTTGTTTTAGGAAATTTCTTTTTTCTTTAATTCTATTATTATACCGAAAATTACTTCTTCTAGCTATATATCTATCTAATATAGCAAAACCATCTGAGACAATATCTTAATTTATGGCTCTTTCTTCTTCTGGACAAGTGAAGAGAGACCACAGATATGAGTGTGTGAGTTTGAGTGTGAAATGTTCTACTACTATCAATCTATTGCTACTATATTATATCAGAAAATTGGGGTTTGGGGACAAGTGGTTTTTGGTTTCTGGTTTGGGAAAAAACCAGAGATGATATTTTTGATAATGTTGTGTTGTCGATTGTTGATTGGTTCCTTTGTCAACAAGTTGCTGTCCTTTGTTATTAACAGCCACACAATTATATCTCTTGTTTTGCTTTTTCACTTTCCTTTTCTTCATTTGCTAAGGACATTATCTTTTTTGGTGAAAATTCTATTTTTGCTATTTATTAAATTTGGTTGGGGTTTGGTAATCAAGTCTATTGGACCAATAAAAAGTGTGTGCATGTATGTATCTAATTTAGTATGTCTCTAATGTTATTTTTATATATAATATGCATCTACATTTAATCATTCTCATCGACAAATTTTATTATTTCTTAATACTTAAATAACTTAATTGAATAACAAAATACTATGACTGTTTTACAAAATTAACTCCTAGTAATTCAATAAAAGTTATGAAACTACCAAACTGATTTAGCTTAGACATACTCTCTAATTTTTATTAGTTATTTTTAGCATAATAAAAGTGAATGTCTCTATCAAATTGGAAAAACAAACCATTTATAATAATTAAAAAAACACGGGTACCAATACTCAAATAATTTACAAGGTGGTTAAGTTTTTACCGATCTTTTAAGAAGTAATCTTTTATTAGATAAAAATTATATTATTTTTGTTATATGAAATCTATATAAATTAATATAGAATTAACTTTAAAAATAATGAATCTTTTAAATTTGAAATTATGTCAGAGATAAAATATATCATTATTCATTTCCTAGACAAAGTCATTTGAAATTTTTTTAATAGTAAAGAAGAAACTATATATTAAAAAAAATTTTAAAAAATACGTAAAAGGAGTCAAAAGCACCAAGAATACATTAAAATAATAAAATCAACCAAAACAAAGACATCCAAGATCAAGAAAACTACACAAAATCAAGAAAACTACACAAAAGTAACAGATGCTCAACCACAACTACAAACCAAAAACCGACCATTTACGTCTATGGACTCAAATATGAGTAGATGTCAGGATGACCCATTTAAAAATAATAAAATCGCTAATTAGCCATCACACTATATATAGGTTACAAAAACCAACAACTTCTAAATTTAGGATTACTTCTGGGTTGAAGCAAATTATCCTTTAATTTTATACTCCGCGTCTAAATTATATATAATAATTTCTTGAGCATGTATATTTTGATAAATTGTTATTAATCTAATTTCATCTTTGAGAGACTAATTCCATCTTAATTGGTGGTCTTCTCTCAACAAGATTCCTACTAAGAAAAATTTACTCAAATATAGTGTTATCTTTGATCCAAGTGGATGTTCAAAGTCTTTTTCCTAGTAAAAATGAGTCATATACTTTTTTTTTTTTTTTAGTATGAGGTGCATTTTGTATTTAGTATAAGGTTCTTTAATTGTCTCGTCATTCCTTAGTGTTATTTGGGTCGATATGCACGGTTTTAGATTTTGTCAGAGGACATGAGTTTGTTGTAGGTGTATACTTAGTTTGGTGTTGATTTCGCATGCCCCAATATGGTCTTTATGGACATATCGAAATAATGTTTTATTTCTTTGAAAATAAATAAGCATGACAAAGTTATTTGATCATTGCAACTTCCTTTTCTAGATGTGGTATGTTGGCAAGTTTTCAGGCAGAATGTTTAATCACACTTAGTGCTAGTGATGCCTTCTTGACCCTAGCCCTTGGTGTTTGATATTGGGTGGCTTGTGGATACTCTCCTCTTTTTGTTGTTTATGTTTCGATCGTTTTCTATGGTTTCCCGAGTGTTGCCATTTGCCTTCACTGTTGATTTTGTTGTATTCATTGAATTGCTCTGTACTCCTAATTTCTTTCACATAGTTGTACTTTATTCTTAAGCTTTATACCCCTTATATATATTATTCATATTTTGTCCTTCAAAAAATGGTAATGTAGGAAAATCATCAATAATAAATAGATAGATCATCAATTTTGAGTGTGAAAATATAACCAGACGTCCAAAACTATTTTAATTTAAAATAAAATCATTATTCTCATAAATAAGCTAAAGTAGAAGATCCAAAGGGCGATTAGACAAAAAAAAATCATTAAAATAAATTGTTTTTAAGTGAGTACATATTTTTATTTATATATCTGTTCAAAGGAAATGCAATTTGCTGAATTACATTACAGTTTCGCTGTTAAATTTTTTTAACCATCTAATCAAAATCAGAGGATAAATAGAAGAATTAAATATATATATATTAAATTCATTTAAACTATTGATGTAAAATAACAAGCAATCTGCCAAAAAATATCATTGCAAGCGTATTTTATTAAAACTTTTATTTTCTTTCTTGTTTTGGATTCTCTCTCTCTCTCTCTCTTCTGTGCTTGGTTGAACTGTAGAGTGTCTGAAGGACTAAACAGTGTCAATGTCGTACGGTTGAGGATATTACATGCATTCTTTTGCTGACGGCGCCACTAACCCATGAGTATTAAACCCTGGTTCATCTTCTCATCCAACAAATATTGAAATGGTTATCTTTAGGTTTAACTTCTTACCTATACCATCATTTTTATCGTATATTTCATTTTATCTTTCCATTAATGCTTTCTGACCATTCAACCTAATCTCATATTTTATTACATAATTAATGTTTTCTCATAAATATATGCTTTAAACTTTATACCATCGTGTTGTTGCTATATCAAGTAAGAATTAATAAATAAAAAAATTCTAATTCTTGTCTTTTAATTTTATATTAATTTAACGATTTCAATTAATTATTTATTCAAGAGTATCTATATCTTCTCTAATTTTATTTCATCCAGATATTTTTCGAGATTGGCGGAAAGTTCAAAAAGCCACGATCCAATCCAATATCAATGCATTTCAAACGATCCAATGTATATGCCTTCGCATATGATAGTCGATGTACACTTTTTGATCTCCATTTTTACTACACACATATTGATTTATGAATTGTCTTGGGCTTTTGAGTGATAACCTTACATGTTCACTCCATGTCACCGTATCAGAGATTAGCACCACCGATTTAGAATTCCTCACCATCAACATACACAAGTTCTGGTTTCAAAATAGAACATTGACGCCGTCTGTGGAAATAGACTCCTAATTCCCGTGAAATTCTATAAGTAGATAATTCTCGATCCAAATTCAGATCTCTACCAGAATTGAGAAAAAAGACAACCAACCAACTCATCACTATGAGAAGATTAGTTGGATACTCTTATTATATCATGCTGTATTTGATTGTCATCGGTAAGATCAACAACCCCGCAAAATATGTCAACGATCTGCCATTGGAACTTCTCTCCCAAACTGAAAGGATAATGATATGCAAAAATAAGGATTGAGTAGCACTAGGTTGTTCGAGAAATAAGTAGACAAGTAGAAGATCAAGTGTGGAGTTACTAGTGATTTTTGAAGTCTTCATCGTAGGCGAAACGCCTATGAGATACCTCGTAGCCTGTGGATTTCCCATAAGAACTTTCGATTTGACATAGTAGAGAAATCAAATATGAATAGATGTGATGGCGGAGATCCATTGACCTTCGATAATTCAATATCTTATTTTTCGCAAAATAATAGAGCTCTCACCCTCAATCAAAAAGAGCAGGCGGTTAGAAGGTGCCCTCACGTTTCTCGTGCGTTCGTGTGGGGACATCGTCCAAGACGTCTTGATGAGGCCCAACATAGTGATCTAAACGTTTTGACGTCGCCAATTAACGTGGAGGTAGTACAGTAGGAAAGAAAACCAAATGTGACCCATATTGATTGGAAAATGACGTACTGGAGAATTCTAAAAAAATCTAATCCATTATCCAATAGTGATATTGGGGTAAGCCATATTGAGGCTAGAACAATCGAATCCATGCGGGTAGTCTTTGACATCTCTTTCAAACACACAATTAGCTAAATTTTGAAGGATCACGGGAAACCAACATCATCCTTATTGTAAAGAAAATGAAGGATTGAACAACTTAGATGACCGTTCATAACAGATAATTGGGGGCAACCGTCCAGGGACGGTTTGACCTCTACATTCGTGAATGAGCAAGACAGCTACAAAGACATTAGCCACCCTATATCTCCCCTCAAACAAAGGTACGTGGACAGAACCCTTGAGAGATAAGTGCATCCATCTGGCATCTGGAAAGGAGGACCGCATCTATAACACCAAAGACACATGTACCTGTAGAGTAGAGTCGACTGATAAATGCTTCCACTATGACACCCCCTAGTTGTGTAGCAATCAAAAAGTAAAGAGAAGTACAATACACTTCAGTTGCATCTTTCTCTAAGAGATAATTGTTTCATAAAGTTCTGCACAAATTTACAAACTAATTTTCTAACAATGAGAAACATCGTAAACACAAAGGTTCATGTAACCCTCTTCAGAATAATGTGAGCCTCCTGTCATACCCCAAATTTTACCCTTAGATTCTTTGACTTGATGCATGTCATCTAGGTCAATCATCCATGTATAGATAAATGTTTTATTAGTTCGTTTGATTTATGAAATTAGGTTTACTGCAGAAGGCTTAAGAGTCATAGAGGCTTGGTGTGTACAAATTGAGGTTAAAGTCATGGGAAGTGGTATTATAAGTCATAGCCTTATTGATTTTGGTGCTGAGATCGTAATCTCCTGAGGGATTGTAACGCCCCGATTTCGATTATCCCCTTTTATTGGGTCCCTATTTAATTTAATTGGGAGAATATTATTTGAATGTA